GAATCTTCCAAGTCGAAGACGTTGCACAGGTGCCTGATGGTTTTACTTCAACTCTCTGCGCGGCATTAGCTGGGTTAGTTGTTGTTTTTCCGTTGGATATCTGCCACACGTACCTACAAAGTCGTAGGTCTGCATGAGAGAAAAGAGGCAACCTTTATCATGTCATATATATGTACATATATAATGACATTTATGTGAAGGTAACGGGAGTAAAACTGCGGCCCACTGTACATTAAGGAGAAGCGTTTCCGTAATCGGAATGAGCTCAAAGTCTACGTTGCAGTTTATATTTGCATGGCCACTAAAGCTATTCATTTAGAGCTTGTTTCCGATCTTACTACGGAAGCTTTCTTGGCTGACAACGGCACTAACTTTGTCGGCGCTGACCGTGAGCAGCAAGTCTTATTCAATTCAGCTGATTACCAAAGCGCTATAACCATTTTGATGAAATGAAAGAATCACTTGGCATTTCATATCACCCAGAGCTCCTCATTTTGGAGGACTTTGGGAAGGTGTGGTTAAATCATTCAAAAAATATTTACTCTGCACTGTCGGAGATACTTTGCTTACATATGACATATGAACAATTGGAAACCTATATAATTGAGATCGAAGCGATATTGAGTTCTCGTCCTTAATCTCCTTTATCCTCGGATCCTAACGACCTTTTGCCTTTGACTGCCGGCCACTTCCTCACTGGTGCTCCATTGACAAGCTGTCCAGAGGTTGACTTCACTGACACTCCATTCAAACGATTGTCTGCCTGGCAACATGCACAGAAATTAAAGCAGTACTTTTGGGATCGCTGGCATGAGAAATATCTAAATAACCTTATTAGCTTGCATCAACGTTCTAAATCAACTAGCAGGATTCTAGTTGGAGATTTGGTTCTAATCCATGAAGACAGTCTTCCCCCACTTGTTTGGTCCATTGGAAGAATCACCGCAATCCATCCAGGAGAAGACGGCATTGTTAATGTAGTGACTCTAAAAACCAAGAATGGCGAGTGCAAGCGCTGTACCAAGAAACTTTGCCCTCTACCCTTCAATTAACGGCTCTATCTTATTTTATTGAACTTGGGCAGTTCAAGGGTGGTCTCAAAATCTTGCTATCGAAATTATGTTTTTCAAGTGAATCTTATTTTTTTAGTATTTAGCCTAGAGTTGCCAGCTCTAAAATTTGTACGAAAAAGCAGATCGTTTTATGGCATTATTTTTATTTTATGTATTGTTAACTGATTTTATTTGATTTTTCATTATTCTCAAGGATTTCCCAATCGGGGTTTTCCAGTTGGTCTTTTAATGTATGGGTCTTATCTAATACACTTATCCTCATAACATTCAATATTCTCGAATATTTTTCTCAAGCAACCCGTTTATTTAAGCCTATTTCACGTAAATATTCTAAGCTACAAATAGCTAGATTTTTAATTCCTTAATTGTTCCTTGTATCCCTCGTCTTGGGAATTACCTGATATTATGATCTTTCCTACCTATGTTAATCCAAACCTCTGTCTATCCCTACAATGACGAATCTTAAACTCCTTCTCTAACTACCGATGTGAAACATTGCATTTTGTAAATTCATTCATTACGTTTCAAACCTTGTGAGAGTACAGTAAGAATTAAATGTTGTTTTGTCTACAGTACATCTTGCCGATAATTTTTCTCATCCTGTCTTTTCACAAGAGTTATTGTAATTCGTGTGTGCAATAAGCATTCATACTGTAACGAATTAAAGAATTAACTGTCTCAAATTAACTGTCTTTTCACAAGAGTTATTATAATTCTTGTGTGCATTAAGCATTCATACTGTAACGAATTAAACAATTAACTGTCTCAAACAAATTTATTTTTAACAATACTTCACTATCACAACTAATTTATATACACCACTTAGCAACTAACGCTTAATTTATCTTCACTGTTTGTTAACCGCTCGATTTGCTTTCTAGATACAGACTCCGACTGACTGACTGACTGCCGCTCGGGACGGAGAGCGGCCTTTTTATATCGTCAACGAACGCTCCGGATCTCTCTAGGGGTTTAGGCACTGGCCTAAATTATTCGCGGTGGCTTGTCGAGCGCATTCCTTTCGCGATGAGTCATTGTTTATTCGTTGGCTGAGATATCGGTCAGGCCCGGCTTCAAATTCGTTACAACACTCACGATAAAATAATCGTGGACCAAAAACAATAAGACATATGGCTATATCACTCATATAACTACGCACATTCATCAATAATTTTTGTTACATTGTGTAGAAAGAGAAAAAATGTATAGAAAATGATTAATTGTTCATTGAATAAAAAACGAACATTTCAATTAAAACAATTTTTTCAGTTATCAAAGAGAAGGATGAATTATGAATGGAAAAATAATTTCTTAATATCAGTTATAAATGGTATAAGAAAATTTCAATTAACAAATGCGTGTCAAACCAAAAAATAATCCTATACATGTTTAACTTTCTTTCGTTAATTTATATGTTCAATTCATTGTTTTTCACTCATGTTTACTGTGAGTATGATTTGTAATGTTATTCAGTGGCAAAAAAAATCCACAACTCAAAATAAATTATAAGCCTTGGAGAAGCTTTCCATTAGAAGCGAAAGCTTGGAAAAGTAGAGCAGAGTTTTGATTTTCGATTTTTCGACTGAGAGANTATATATTTTTTTATAGAAATATATTAATTTATTTGCCATATTCATGTGCTCTAACACAGATTTTCCTCATAATCAAAATAAAACACGTATGCCCGTCCACTTTTTTTATTTCGAACATCTTAATAATAATAACATTAAATAAATATATTCCTCTGAAAAATGTAACATTTTTTATTCTCTCAGATTTTCTTAAAAATGCCCCGATCAGTATATGAATTCCTGAAATGAAAATGTACAATATGAATGATTCACAATTTATTGCTAAAAATATTGGAGATCGAAACAAAACATCTTTCTTACAAGCTACCTAAAAAAATATATACTGGCCCCTATTACTGGCGAAAATATACGTACTATTTTTAATATAAAACTATATAAAACTAAAATATTCACCTCAAATCTCGAATCTCCACGTTGTAACTAAGCAAATGCCAATGAAATAAAAAATCTACAGAGTATTGAAAATAAATTCCAGTTGAAGATACATTCCAAATAATAACTGATGATAGGAATTTGGCATCTCACTCCTGAATTCTGATTTGAGTTGATTTGCTTGAAGTGGTATTGGTTAAATGAATACATAGGAAGTGAAATCAACAATGTTCAAACCTATTGTTGAATTAATCATCAGAGAATGCTACAAACATCAACTTCTTCTTACCCTGTACCTGTATAGTTATTTACACTCTTATATCTCAAAGAAAAGTAAACAAGAGAAATGAATTTATCAGAAATTGGAGAAAAATGTCAGTCTAGTTCCTTCGGCTGTTAAATTGTATTAATAGATAGAGAGATTCATGGACTCACATTCTCAAACCCATTAATACCCATGAAATAACTGAAAATTTGTGATAATGCGATTTTTAATTTTGAATATATGAGAAAAAATTTAGGGATATGTAATATGTTTATTTCATTGTTTTGTTGTTTGTTCTATTCTTCATTCATATTTTCATATAGTATACGTTCTAAAACGTACGTTTTGTGATCATCATTACAAGTGACTATAGTATTCATTAGAAATATTTTTCTTCATTTATTTGGAACAATCAAATCTCAAATAGAACGAAGCTTTGATCAAAAAAGAAAATTGCTTTTTCTTATTGAAAATTATTGAAAAATAGATGATAATATAGGCTATTCATAAATATTACATGAACTTAACAAAATATCCTACTTTACTGATTTTTCTATAACAGTAGTTCCTATAAACAAAGTATCTAAGGGGTTTTCTAGCAAAAAATGACGTGATATGTGTTAGACTGACCATGAATATCGGAGTTCATGGTCAGTCTAACACATATGTCATATGTGTTACACATATGACATATGTGTTATGATGTCAATCACAAGTTTAAAATATTTGGACTGTCATAAATCTGACGTTTTACTGGCACCTGTTCCAAAATACAAATAGTCTTATAACTAAAATAGGAATGAAAACATTTACAAGAATAATGGATTTGTTATGTACAAACTACATATTTTTCCGAATCAACTATCTAAAATCGATTAATTGACACAAAAATTTACATTATTATATCAACAAAAATATAATAATTACAAATAATTTTCATTTATTTACAAAACAGAAATAGATAGTAGCGTTTTTAACGGTTACGCGTTGAACTTCTCCTTCATACAATATTATAAAGAGATGAGACAGTTTCTCTGAATGTAATGAATTCTCCATTCAGATCATTGAAATATTCGAATCGTCATTGTTTCTCTTTTTGTTTTCCTCTGAAAACTTTCATAATATTTTTGGAACAGTATCAGAACAGTTCATAATTTATAATCAATCAATTGTGTTCACTCAACTGAAATAAAAAATACAGAATATCCAATGTTAATGTCATTATACGCAACACATGTGTGAAATTAAGTTTCGAAAAAAATTAATATACTTGAATTGTTGATGTTATTCAAAATGAACTATTAATTTTAAAACTTAATAATCTTGGAATAATGGGCAGATACTTTAATTATTATATAATGTACTACTTGACAAATGAAAATGCATATCTTTATTTATTATGAAGTAATAACTTGACTCTATGGTTTGTTTGCACATTGTACTGTACTTGACATAGTTACGTTTTGTTTTATAATTTAATTGATGATTAGTGTTGAATGTCTTTATGGTTATTCACGTCTTTTAAGTATTTTTTCTTCTTTATGTTCCATTTGGTATTTTATTAAGAGTTTGTGGTGTACTGGACTAATGAAAATGAATAGGTTTATTTATTTTTAGGTAATTACAATAGTTTATCTTAAGGATCTCACTTGTTGGGTTCATAACTGCTCAAATGCTTGACTAATTTCTACAATTAAAACTTTTTTGATGTACCATTTGGGATTTTATAATATTTTGTAGTGTACTTGACCGATAAATAAATAAAATGTTTGAGTTTTCATGTTTGAGTACAATAGACCTTTCTATTTTTTGAGAAAACAAATCAATAATATTCATTAGTTCTGTTTCGAAATAAATTCTAAGTTTCAAATATGACTGTGCTGTCATTAACATTGAGACACACTCCTACTTTCAAACCACATTCCAAAATGTATATGATTTTGGAAAAGCAAAAAAGGTTACTTTAATGAATATGCGACATAACTTGAGTTTATTAAACATAATACCTCATTGAATGAATGATTTTTACTATATAACATTTGAAAAGGCAATAATCTTGAATACTCGAGTAATGGGAAAATCTATCAACCCTGTATATGTGGGTGCAGCACTAAAACAGTATTTTATCTCTTTTTCTTCACAATTCTTTCCAGCATACATTCACTCGTAACAGCCTGCCAATCGACATCGCTGATATACATGTCACAGAAAGATACATATCAAAATCTTGCCTTCATTTTCTTCGATGCAGTTCTGTGAAATACGTGATGCAAACATTGAGTTCATAAAGGTTCATGCAAAATCGTGTAGAATTATTGATTTGAGTGACGGTGAGTAAATTTAGAAGAAAGACCGAGATCGACAATTTTCCATTTTTTTTTAATATTTAATATTACTAGCCTGCAAAGCTATTTTGCTCATTTTCATCATCGCAAACTTCTCGACGTGAAGAATTTACTTATAAATTCATATTATATAGATATATTCTCTACACATCTTTTCAATATTGTATGAAGGAAATCAAGCAATCAATATGTTTTAATAAATTTTTAACAATAGCACCATTTGGAATTCGTATACAAGATGTAACATAAAGTGGCGAATTTGATTTCAGGAAGTGAATCCTTGTCATCTTTCATAAATGAAGTTCATGTAAACATGTACTACAGCTTGTCAAACTTTGGAAGAGACTTGAGATTCTCTCTCTCTCTCTCTCTCGTTTTCTCTCGTTCCCATAGTCTTATAAAGAACCCACATCTAGTGGGCGGGACCATAACGGAATTCAGAAAGCTCTTCTCACATTTGACAGACTGTAATTTGCTTAGTTTTTCGAAAAACGGTAAAAAAGTTTTGAAAATTAATGCGTTTTCATCAACTTGTCTTACTTTTATTATGTGATAAAAATCCATTACGCATTGACGCACCACATCTTTCTGAGACTTTCACTGGACAGTTTACAAAACCGAAACACGTGTTGAGGTGAAGGTAGAGGAAGCTATATTATAGCTTCCCATAGCTATATTATAGCTTGCGGTTTTATAAACCGCAATACGTAACATTCGATTCTTCTGCTTATTCCTCCATTATTTCGATAAATCTGACCGGAACTTTTAAATGAAATTCCATTTGGTGTTGATGGAAGATTTCTGTTTTCTGGTTTAAGGATGTGCAAAAAATAATTTTTTATGTGGTATCAAAAATTGAACACGATACAAAAAATTCAAGAAACCAGAAAGTTGTATGTTTCTTTGATTATTCTGAAAGTAATATCTTACTTAGAAAAAACTCTAGTGATTTGCAAAAGTTATTCTCTGAATAACAAACAGACAACTTCCTCAACGGCACTGAAATTATTGACTTGAATATGAGTCTTTTCAATTAAGTATAATCACAAAAGCCTTTTGAAACCAAGTATCAGCATATTCGGCTTTACGATGTCCGAGTTGCTGATAAAAAGCTGATTTTAATAAGAACTTTGAGATCATGTTTGTCGAAAAACCAACAAGAAGTTACCTCAGAAATTGAATTCATCACTTATGTTATATCTTGTAAATTAAATATGTAATAAATTAATTCTTATTTTTCTCAAAAAGATATATCACATTGAATATTACATGAGAATTGACGATGAAGGCAACTGGGTTTAACCAAATAAAAAATTGTTTTAAGGTTTATACCAGGTGCTGGTATTAACAGATAAAAATGAACTTCAATAAATAGTAGGTGATATTTCTAATGTGGAGTATGGCCCCTTTCTATTGAGGTTATGAATATTTCTTTAAATTTCGTAGGCAGCAGTAGAGTCTCCAAAGTTAAATTATTGTTCAGTTCAGTTAATGACAAAAATTAATTTCCAGTATATTTTTTCATTCAATGTGGTTGAGATACAAAGCATTATACAAACGATAACATATTCTTTTTTGAATTTGATTGAACAAAAACTGAGCTAGAGACCTGAACCACTGGACGTTTACCGTGTCAGAACATATAAGATGGAATTAAAATGTTGATTCCAATATTAGCTCCCTGGACGAATTACTGAAGATTTTCAGAAACTTTTTCTCTCGAAATAAATTGTGTTAGTTCCAATTGATATTGAAAAGGTTTAGTTTTGTGAATTTTTAGTCTTGAAGTCTTCTGTTGTATCTCAATATTCAGAACTAATATTGGATTGAATGTTGTTTGTGAGTGAAATATTTGGCAGTATAAATAAGATAGTAAATTTAGATTTTGTGAATCGAAACCACTGGATGCCTACTGCATGCGATAATTGAACATCTAATTAGAGTGATGGATTGAATTAACATTTAATGGGTATAGTTTTGTAAATTTCTACTCTTGAAATATTCTAAAATCTCTCATCATTGGAGTTCTTCAAATATTCTGAGAATTAATATTGGATTGAAATTGGTTTGTGAGAGAAATGCTTCGCAGGTAAAATAAGATAAAAAAATTTTGAATTTGTGAATCGAATTTACCGTTGGAATTTACCCAAGTAATGTACTCGAGATCAACTCTATTGAGTACACTGGGATGAAATTTAGTGGATAAAAAATTAAATAGACCTAAAGAAATTTCTCTAAAATTGATCTGAAAACCATTTAGAGTCTTCATTAGTGTCTTTTCATGTGTAACGAAAGGTGGTCTGACCTACTGAAGGATCTCTGACATAAATTGCAACTGAAAGGTTTTTGTCCGGTGTGTTTTCGATAGTGCCTTGTTAGTTCGTCTGATCTTGCAAATTTCCAGGTACAACCTTCCCACGAACATTGATATGGCTTCTCGCCTGAAATTGAAACAAAAAAATAACATTACACACATTTGTCAATTCTTTTCGATAAGATATTTGAATTGAACTAATCACTGACATCAATTTAACCTGATTAGCCAAATGAGTGTCGAGAGGCAGTATTTTTGTTCTGGTGTAAAAAAAGTATTTTGTATTATTTTTAATCCAAAACCTTGAAGTCCGACATTGATGATAGGGTTTCATGTAAATGAAATTTTATACCGTAACTCGTTCATGTATTTTAATGTAATGGATGTATGGAGCATGGAAGTAGTTGTCACCTTCACAATGATGAAGGAAGTCCAGTACGAATTGCCATTCTTATACCATTGGTGAAGAGGAGCGACACTAAGTGGGAAACATCTGTATATCGAAAACCCACTCACATGGGACAGTATTTGAATCACGAAACCAACCACCATCTATCTACCAGACTCTAGTGAATTGTGCTTTAGGGATCTGTAATACGAAGAACTAGGCATCATCAGAAAAATAGTTAGTCCAAAATGATGGTGGAACAGACTTTAGCTAGAAGACAGCAAGAGCATCGCAAGAAAGAGAAGCCGCCAGAACCAGTGCTTGAGCCCAAGTACAACATCAGAACCTGCTTCAAATCCGGAAACACTATCCGTAGCAGCATCACAAAAATCTGGCCGTCAAACGCGGACTGCGATTCCAAGAATTACATTTACCGCGTTCCCTGTGAAAGTCCGCATTGCCGAGCACTAGAGAAACACACAGCGAGGAGAAACCAACAAATCGGGACAAGCAGAGCATGTTTGGACTAATCAACATAATGTCAAACGGTGCCTAGCTGGGATCATCCACAGGACAGAACATTGGTTCAAGATGAAGTTCAAAGAAGCGGTATATATGTTGTCCAACGACGCCAAGCTAGCGTAGAGATACGCAACACATGGAAACCTATAATCAAGCGGAAAACGGTCGACTCCCGCTAAACGGTCAATTCATGCTAAACCGGTGAAGCGGAAAGAGGGAAGAGGGGATAGATGAAAGCGCTCGAATGATCTATAAACTATAAATAGTCATCTTTCGGAGGAATAGTCCAGTTATCACCCGAAGACGATTGTGGCTACTAACAGTCGAAATGTTGTTTGCAAATTTTTATTTTAGTTTTTAAAAATTATTTTTACTCTATGTTTTTTTCATCCTTTATCTTGATTGTTTCATTCGTTTTATTGTATTTTCATTTCACGTTTTATTGCTTCATTATTGATATTTTAGCTATTCATTTTAATTTTATTTGTTTTTTTTTATAGATTTCGATTCATATTAGAATCGTATTGGACTATGGGAGTAATAAAATACACTATGAAATATTGTCAACCACTTTCAAACAAAAGTAGTTGTTTCGAAAGCTTTTTTCGTGTAATTTAATTTTTATGTGAAAATAGTTGTTTCGGGACCAAGGAAAGTATGACTTTCATCTTTTTATGATGCGAAGTCAACCTGTTCTGTTCCGACCATTTCATAATTTGTTTTTTATAATATACATCCAGACTAGACTGTTTTGTGATGCATACGTCTATTTCGTCTTTTTTACAGGCTTTATATTAGCTTCACCTGTATGTATGTATGTATGTATGCTTGTTTGTATGCATGTTTGTTTGTAACTCTCAAGTTCGGAATCTGTTTTGACAGAATTATTGTATTTGTATTGTATTGTATTGTGTATTGGGTTGACGGGTCTTTAAGCAGTTCGTTCAGTTTTGAACTGTATTCTACCGGTGTGTGTATTTGAGTATAATCTGATATCAGTCGAAGGGAACAGCCATGGCGGAACTTCAGCTGCGTTAATGGGTAGAATTTAAGATATATGTGTCTGTTGTTCCATTATCATGCTGGTATAGTAATTGTTGGTTGGCTGTTATATTCCGTTAGTTTTTCTGTGAACATTGTATGATTTGGATGTGCGTGTTGTGCAGACATGCTTATATGATGCGTTGCGAGTAATTCTTGTCTTCTTTGGCAGATACTTCAACGGATTCCAGCATAGACGAATAGCGTCTAGTTTCTCCAGTACTATCTTACATGCTGAGGCGTAGATTGCACTTCCGTAGTCGATTTTGAATATTATTAAAGCTTAATATATTCTCAATATGCTTTCTGGATCAGTACCCCGTTTACAATTTGCTATCACTTTGATGACATTGAGAGATTTTTGTAGTCTATCTTCAGTTCTGTGGCGTGTTTCTGCCAGTTTAATTTTGAATCGAATATAAGCCCTGAACATTTTACCGATTCAACGGTTTTTATTGGTTCATTGTTCAATTTCAAGAATGGGTCGTAGTGGGGTTTTCCTAATCTGCAAAAGTGGATGCATGCGGTTTTTCTCTAGAGAACTGATTTCCTGGAGTTTCTTCGTGATTTCCGTGAAAAACAGTGACAGCAAAAAATGATGAAATCATCGATATATAGGTATTTGTGGATGGCTGGATCTGTAGATGTAATTAGGTCGCTAATCGCTATTTTGAAGAGTACCCCAAACCATGGGAGACTCCATTTTCGAGAATTCTGGGCTTTGATAGAATATGTTCTAGTGTCATTCGATTAGTGCTCTCTTCTAGAAATGAGTATATGAATAATGATAGATTTCCTCTGAGACTAAATTCGTAGTATGCAGTATTTTCAGGTTCTGTTGATCAATAGTTGATCTATTTTGCTGGGTTCCAGATTTATATTGTGGAAAAAGAGTATGTTTTTCACTATTCGTTATAAAAGTTTCATAAGTAACATGTTAAACTTATAGGACGGTATGAACTGGATGGCACTATAAAGGATTTTACAAAAACCGCCTTACGTGTTTCGCTATACTATACATAGATGTCTCAAACGTGAAATAAAAGTTACTTCTAAATTACAACTATTTTATTCTGTACCATATTACCTAACATATTTACCTACTTGCATCCCTACTTTCTAATGAATAAATCTACCTGAAAGGTCAGGTATGAATTCATTAACTAATGAACAAATTAAATTTTCGAAAGTACCGTAAATATACTTAACTTTTCTTACCTGAAAATAAACAGATTCAATAATAGCGAATTATTTAGTTCAGTTTGATTGTTCCTAAGATATTGAGAATTTTTGAGTTTGTTTATTTCCATACTTTCCAACAGTTTGGAACCTTTCGTCTGGAAATGGAGGGCTTTGAATTTATGGTTGAACTCATGTCCCTCTGTGATTAAATGACTGGCATATGTGGAATTCATTTTTTCATTCTGAAAACTATTTCTATATTCCCTAATGCGGGCTTTGAACTGAACATAATAGAAAAAATAGCCATTAACAATTATTACGATTGCAGTCTAATACATTCTCTATTATCAAAAAGTTACACAGCCAAGCTTTGAAGGAAGTTTACTCGATTCGAAGAGATGAGGATAAATGATATAGAACCTCAACCTACCTAGGCACATCCACTACGAATATTTTAAATTTTCTGCACAACAAAGATCAACAACAAGTTAGGCATGCACGTTAAGAGTAACAAAGATAAAAGTTAAGTTCCAGAAAAATCGGGAGTGTTTAAATTATCATGTGGGTCATGTCCCATGTTTTATATAGATCAAACAGGAAGAACGTTCAAAGCCTGCATGAAGGATCGCAGAAATAGTTTCCTGAATGGAAAAATTAATTCCACATATGCCTCTCATTTAATCACAGAGGAACATGAGTTCAATTATGAATTCAAGCCCCCCCTGAGGATAAATGTTATAGAACCTCAACCTACGAATATTTCAAATTTTCTGCACAACAAAGGTCAACAACAAGTTAGGCATACACGTTAAGAATAACAAAGATAAAAGTTAAGTTCCAGAAAAATCGGGAGTGTTTAAATTATCATGTGGGTCATGTCTCATGTTTTATATATGTCAAACTGGAATAGTGTTCAAAGCCCGCATGAAGGAACCCAGAAATAGTTTCCTGAATGGAAACATTAATTCCACATATGCCTCTCATTTAATCACAGAGGAACATAAGTTCAACTATGAATTCAAGCCCCCCCATTTCCAGAAGAAAGGTTTGAAACATAATCTGTTGGAAAGTATGGAAATAAACAAATTCAAAAATTCTCAATATCGTATGAATGATCAAACTGAACTGAATAATTCGCCATTATTGATTCTGTTCCAGGTAAGAAAAGTTATGTATATTTACGCCACTTTCGAAAATTTAATTTATTCATAAGGTAATGAATTCATATCTGACCTTTTCAGGTAGATTCATTCATTAGAAAGTAGGCATTCAAGTAGGTAATATGTTACACTATAAAATAGTTGTAATTTAGCAGTGACTTTTATTTTACGCTCGAGAAAGCTATTGTATAGCAAATCACGTGTCGCGGTTTTTGTAAAACCCTTTATAGTGAAAATCATATAATAAAGTGTATACAGGGTGGGTTTGGGTACTAATCTTGCAACGCTCACACAGGTCGATTTTAATTGGGAGGGGGACAGTTTTTTCCCATTCACAGCGTCGTCACTTCAAGCCCGGAGCAGAGGGGTGAACAATCCTTGGAATTTTAATAGGGAATAGGGGGCCGAGTCGCAGATCGTTTGAAAGATCTTGGGATTATCTAAACAATGGTGTACATAGCAACAAATTGTTGTATGCTACTGCTCAGTTGGAATGTATTTGGAACTCTTTCATTTGTTTTTTACGCTACTTTTTTGTTAATTTTTTAGTTCTTCTCTGATGAGAGGACTAATACAATTGAGAAACGGTGGAAAATGCTATTTCTATTTCTCATTTTTATGTTAAAAGTGATATCTACATTATTACTAGTAGTGAGTGCCGTGAAGTGTTGCTAAAGTAACAATGGTTTACACAACTGCAGGGAGGGTTGAGTTGATTGAAGTGTACTATGGAAATAGACGTTGTGCTGCGAGAGCCGCTGAACTTTTCAATCAACAACATGGGAAGAATGTGTCGCGACAGTATTTTTTCGATTTAATTGCAAAATTTGCCGC